ATGGCATTAAGGAAATGTGTTTAGTGTTGTGAACGTCGTATACAGCGCTGTTGATAATGTACATTGCGTTGTCAACGTCATATATAGCGTCGTGAACGTCGTATATAGCGTTGTTAATAATGTACATTGCGTTGTCAACGTCATATATAGCGTCGTGAACGTCGTATATAACGTTGTGAACGTCGTATAGAGCGTTGTGAACGATGTATATATCGAAGTGGACGTTGTATATAGCTTTGTAAAGGATGAATGTGGCAGTGTGAAAGATGTATATAGCGTTGTGTACGTCGTGAATAACGTTTTTAAGGATGTATATAGCATTGTGAACGATGTATATAGCGTTGTGTACGTCGTGAATAACGTTTTTAAGGATGTATATAGCGTTGTGAACGACGTATATATCGATGTGGATGCCGTATATAGCGTTCTGAATGTCGCACAGTACTGTGAGAGTAGCCGCTAGATTGATACAGTGTGTGTGTGTGTCTTGGATTAGCCAGCAGGTGCAACCCGGTGTTAACACCCACACGTGAGATGTCTACCCTCGACGATGAATGCTCATTTGGTAACCGTTTATAACTACCTTGTCATCCTTATGCTACTGGGGACTCCGACACCTTTAGGGGGGAACAGATAATTGCATGAACGACTGACCCGGAAAGCGACACATTAATGTACAACGCGTGTCGCCATGTTTACCAGAAGGTGTTGTGTTACAGTGTCGCATCTGTTGACTAAAGAGAAGTTCCCCCGTCCACACACCGGCCGGTGCGTCTGTAGTTCTGGGGCACGCTGTGACAACACGAAGACGTGATCTTCGTAGACTGACCTCCACGACAACGACTACACGCTAGAGCGCCCACTCGTGGCTCTGGTTTCGTTTTTGTAACGAAAGTGTATGGTTTGTGGCCAGACATTTAACAATAATTCTGTCCTGACACGTTAATCCCGTGAACTGCATGTTGACAGGTGTACGGGTCTTTGTTCTCTGAAAACATGATGTGGCCATTCGTGGCGAAACGGTTGTTTTGTTCATATTGTAGAATGCAGATGCTCGCATATAAACTGTATACACTGAAACCTCACCAGGACACCTTTAACCAGGAAACATACCATGACGATCATGTTGGGAACGTGTTTTGTTTGTTTGTTTGTTTGTGGGGGAAATGTGTGGGGGAAATGTGTGGGGAATTGTTTGTTTGTTTGTCTGTAAAACGTCATGAGCATCGATCCACGCAATTTGGATACGATGACATGCATCAACCAAGTCAGCGAGCCTAACCACCCGATCCCGTTAGTCGCCTCTTACGACAAGCATTGGTTGCTGAAGATCAATTCACTTCCCGGACCTTCCCGGACCTTCCCGATTATGTAGATGCCACCATCCCTATACTATATCCTTCAGTGTTATTATATTGAATAACGCACATATTTTATTCCATAGTTTAAACTGTCCTTCGTCTGTCCGTCCGTGAGGGAGGGAGTTGGGTTTAACGCCGCTTTAAGCAGTATTCCAGTTATATTACGGCGTGTCACCTTGATGTGGGTGGAACGTCCGAGTGAGTGAGTTAAGATTTAACGTCACATCGGCATATCGTGACGATGGAACGTCCGAAGTGATGCAGATCTTGGACGTTTACCACTTCGGTGAAACCCACGGGTATGATGTTGTTAGTTTGTTTGTTGTTTAACGCCGCACTCAGCAATATTCCAGCTATATGACGGCGGTCTGTAAATAATCAAGTCTGGACCAGACAATCCAGTGATTGATATCATGAGCATCGATTCACGCAATTGGGATCGATTGCATGTATCAACCATGTCAGGGAGCCTGACCACCCGATCCCGTTAGTCGCCTTTTACAGCAAGGATGGGTTGCTGAAGACCTATTCTGCCCCGGATCTTGACGGGTCAATGCATGGATTGCTGAACACTAACCCGAAACATCACGTGTGTTGGAGATTATACTGTGGGAAATTTGTCCCTTTATTGGTGGGGTATTGTTCTGTGGGGAAATGTCCCTTTATTGCAGAGGAATTGTCCTGTGGGGAAATGTCCCTTTATTGGTGGGGAATTGTCCTGTGGGGAAATGTCCCTTTACTGCAGAGGAATTGTCCTGGGGGGATACTGTCAGTGTAAGGTATTGCCCAGTGTAGAATTGCCCGGGCCCGTTAAAAAGTATGTAGAAACAGAAAGACTATAACAGTCTTACACACGAACAAATGAAATGCCTAAATGTTGCTCCATCCCGTGGACTTCCTGTAACAGTACATTAAGGACTGGTCGATCTTCTGTGATGCTCTCTCTCGTGTAGCATTAACGAGTTTCACGACGGCATTTTACCATCAAAGTTAACATTTAACTTTTAAGAATTTAATCTTAAAATGTAAAACATTAAATATTTAAACACTATAAACGTACGTCTTGCATACGAATGTGTATGGAGTGCATGTTAATTTTTTGAAATATTGAGTGAAGTGAAAAAAAAGTCTTTAGCCTCCACAACATGCGGCCATTTGTCTTTGGGGCGTTGATGTACAGGTCCGTTTTCACGAATATTGGACCGTTTTAGCCACAACCTGTATAAACGAGTAATAATTTGAAAGGAACTATTTGAGGAACTATTGTAAACGAGTGCAAATTAGTATAGTTATACTTCTCCCCTATAGTGTGTACCGAATGCACATTTAAAAAAATGTTATTTGAGACATTATTTACACTAGCCAAAATAAGAAAATGGAGACTGCACCAGTCTACATATCAATATGATTCAATGAATTTTGCAGTTGCTTAATATAGAATCCGGTTGTGATAATACTTTTCATACATTGTTTGATTTCTTTCACGGAAGTCATCCATCACATCTAGACTTAAAAAAACACCGAACTCCTTGTCACTGTCAGCGTCATATTATCTATTTCTATTCGAAATATGTTTGTCATTTTCTTTGTAACTACTCTGGATACTGACAAAACCAAGCAAATCCCAGCTATGTCGGAGATGACACCAAATACACAAACTATCTCATCTTGAATGCCTGGATAACTTCTAGTCGCTACTTAAGGAAGTCAATGGGCGTGTTATATTACTTTATTCAGATGAGAGGTCGTGAGACTCCGAACTTCCTTTTCAAGGTGTATCTACTGTTCTTACCCCTGTATGCGGATGCGCCTCGGTTCCCACAGCGCTGAGAGGGGACCTGTACTTTGACATAATGTACCCACAGTAGAGATGAATTGAATGGAGGAGACTCTCAAGTCCTGAAAGGATGATTGTCCATACTAAATTCCCCTTAATATATATACTCAGTAGTGTAATGCATGTGTCTGAAAAGCCAGTGGAATTATCAAAGTGCTTGTTATTTACCCTCAATTCATGCACCTCAAGTCAAATAAAAGGGATTCATCTCATCCTTTTTAGGTATCATTTGGTAAAAATGTTCCAGCGGTACTGCGGATGTCCCCGTGGTCTAAAGAGGCGCAATTTCTGTGCAATCAGTCACGGGCGAGTCTAAAACAGATGGAGTGTGGGTTCGAATCCAAAATTCGCACGGATTATGTTTCTAGTTTGTCGGCACCAAGCCACTTTTCGTGGGTTTTAATTGTTGTAAATGTAGGCTCGTATCACTTGTGACATCAACCAGACACCCTTTAATACAACTGAAGTACACTTTAAAGCGGAGTCAAACTCAATGTTCTGTCGGGCGTAAATAAAAACATAACATGGCGGGGCAGGTTACAGGATTGTTTGAAACGTACATACAATCTCCATGAAGTTGATTTCATTCCTGAAGAATGAAGAGGTGCACATTTCTGTGTCACTTCTGGTTGTTGGCCACACGTGCTTTAGTGTAGGTTACATCCCATGAAAGCAAACATCAATCTTGTATCCAGCTTGAGTGATCGAAGTTAATAACGTTTGACTATATAACATTTGTGTTTGGGTGATGATCCTTCAGATGGAATCGCAGGTAAATAGTTTCCCACACAGTATCTGGTAATGCAGTATTGTTTTAGTTTCCAATTATGCACAGGCTTTCAGTTGCTTTTAACATCTCTGACAAAGGTACACAACGCAAGGGAAATGATAGAAAAGACAATTAGATGTTCAAAACTCTACCTCACAAATGAAGGGAATAAGATCAGAACATATTAGAAAAACAGAAAAAAACATACCAAGTTTCACCATATTGAACATTTGCCGGCTAGCCAACTCAGATACCATGCTGCAGTTTAACATAGATGTCCAACTCAGACACAGGATATAGGCCAGTAGAGCTGACCAGTCCTTGTTTTATCCCCTAAATGCCGAACACAAGCAAGGGTAACAGGAAATAACATCTCTTGATTTCTTTGGTATGATGAGCTAGGGGAGCCTCGAAACAACCTTCCACAGACTCTCTAGCCACACCACTACGGTTTTAAAAAAACCCACAAGTTTCTGAATTTGCTTTCTTAACCTTGCTGCAGATGCAACATGAAAATGTGAGTGAGTGAAAGTTTTATTTGTTGCAATCAGCAATAATACCAGCACATCACAGCAGTCAGAAATTCATTGAGCCAGGACCAGGCAAATGAATGGTTGATAGCAAGAGCAACAATCCACATCATCAGGCACAGTGCCACACAACCATCCATGTCACACAATAGTCTACATTGTACATGCTGTAACCACCTGACTCAGAGTTGCCTCCTCAAAAAGACCAACCGTGGCATGAAACTATTCTGCCCCAAATCCCAAGGGTAATACTGGTGTTATTGCAGTGATTGTATCATTCCCCAAGTAGTTGTTCAACTAATAGTATGTGCAAGCTTTGTGTGCATCCAAACCTTTCAGTTGATCAGTTGACATGTTGACCGACTCCGCTATGTCCGTTCTTCCAGCTGGTTGCCCTCAAGAAAACATGTGCAAACACAACAGTCATGTCAATGTGATGTGTTAACATATGCAGCAGGTGCTTGTCGAGATAGTCTCTCATGAACAAAACACAAACGACAGAGTCAGATTAATTAGGGAAACCCCAAACAAATTTATTTAAGTGGGTAGGTAATCTTAGTGCTATACATTCCTAATGTTACAATCATTACTGATGCAAAATTAACACATATTCACAAAATGGTGAATGAGGGAGCGGCCCCAGGACTGACCGCATACAACATCGCAACATCCTCCGACAGCTGGGTCAAGTCTGTGTGCAGACATCATATTATGGTGCAAGACAACCTCTCTCTGTAACCACCACCTGAACCCCCGCAACCAACGTCTCTAGCAACCCAGAATAATTACACAAGTCTCCATAGCAACACTTGTACATAGGTCCCATGTTTCAGATAAGATACATCACAGTTTCTAAGCTTCTCCTGTGTTATTTTGCAAGTAAGGCAGTCTTCAGCTATATATACTACACATTGGAAACTGATTGTGTCACTCTACTATCTGGACACAAGAGTGTCAGCATCTACACTGCATACAGCAAGTCTAAATCTATGACCTACAGTACTCCCAGTTTAGGATAGCCAAGTCTTCCACTGCCAGTGTCAAGAAGTGTCTTCCTAATCTGGGAGGACAGTGCTTACCTGCTCTGTCAGAATTGTTTATAATTTAACTTCTATATAATATACTTAGTATATTGGAAATCTAAGGATTGACTCTTTACGTGTACACTACATCTGTCTTGAGTTGAAAGCCTTGATTAAGTTGTGGCCAGTCTTCTCCTAAATCAAACAAATCACACAGACTGAGATGACGGGGCACAACAAGACCAAGTCTCCAAGGAACGCATCTCCCCAGGCTCTTCTACCAACTCCTCCCTTTCATCAGATAACAAGCATTAGCACTATGTCATGTGTAGCACTAGATGAACGTTCAATAAATTAACACTCCAAATACAAGAACCAAAGAGCCTGAAAATGAGTCCTGTCCATAAACTTCTTGAATCATTTAATCTGTCACGGATTACAGCAACCCCCATTCACCATGGTAACGCTATTTGACAGAGCAGGCCACACACTCCATTTCTCTACTGCCAGCTGTCTAGGTGCTGAGTTCTACCCTGTACTGTGTGAGCCTAAAAGTAGCTTTAGTCACTTCAAAGATCACTCAAATGATCTATCCACAACAGCTCTTGGGTAAGGCCTGAGGTATCATTGATGATCCAAAGATCACCCACTACTACCAAGATCACTGAAAGTTTTCTTTACACAGATCAACCAAATATTTCTATTGAATTATTAGAATCCAAAGATTAGAAATGTAATCCAAAGGATCCCAAATAGTTCCCTATGTCCCAAATGGGATGACTTAAGCGATTTTTCAAAGGCCCCATGTAGGGTCATCTCAAGGCACACCTCCAGATCTCCTCTAGGACCTACTCCTGTACAGTTTCAACTAAGGATCAGCTAGCTGCCTTGATGCTCTCAAGCAAATGCAGATTGTGGTGCCACTAGATCTTTTCAGCAGCTCTTTCACATAGAGCCCCTATGTTATCAAGCAAAGAGCACCAATTGGATGGAAAGTTATGTTCCCATTCTTCTGAGCATATTTGTTGACGAAATGTCAACAAAAAATAGACAAACTGTGAAGGTCAGCATAACCTTTGTGGGAAGCATCGAACAGAAAATCAACCAGCAGCGGACTTTGTTTGAAACTTGGAAAAATATCAATGATATATTAATTCATAATCAAATTACCTATTTTTCTAAACGAAGAAGAAAGATGATATATTCTGAAAATCAGGGGAATTCAAAGAAAGTCCTCTGGACAAATTTGTTTTAAAAAAAATTACTTCATTGGCCAAAACTGCCACAGACGTTCTTCAACTCATTTGCAAGCTCGAGGTCCAGCATGTCACCCCGAGGCCCATCACTGCCTAAGGTTCACTCGGCCAGTTGGATCCATCATTGTCACAGCAACAAAGCCACTTGGTCAATGCAAACAAGAAGCAGGAGCGACACATGCAGATTTGTTGAAAGAACATCATTATGGCAAAAACATTGACGGCATGCTGTAAACTCGGACTGTTATCTTGTGAGTTCATGAGTAGTGCACTATACAAGCCTTGGATCCAACGTGTCATTCAAGGAATAATACCGTGCGTTGAGTTTGTAGCGGGGTTGATGTCAACCGTCCTCAAGTTCAACACCAAGTACCATGTGATGTACAGCAGCTCACTCACTCCTGAATCACTAAGATTCCAGGCTTGAGTTTTCAGTATGCAGAAGCTACACTTAATGTAGTCTTGTTAATGGATCAGTTATAAAAAAAACCCGGATTGGGCAAAGATTATGCTGAGCAACACTGCTTAGTAATTTGGTCTCAAATCACATGCAAGAAATAACATGTACATGAGCATATGGGATTGATCATATCAAAACCCTTATGCAAAGTACATATTATCACTCTGCACAACCAGGTCTATGGCTCTAAAGTAGCACATTTCTAGGAAAGAGCGTTACAGAGTTAATAGACAAGTCTGTACAGAGTTAGTGCTATAAAATGCATAAAATACATCATTGTCCTGTATGACTGATATGGCCATGCTTGTTAGTGAGCGTGGCATGCAGACCCGCGGTCCAACATGTCACCACGGGGAGCATGATGGTCTCCGTCACGTCGGTGATTGGGTGTTGTTGCCGTCATCACAACATCACCTAAACATCGTTGAGACAGCAGACGTCAACTATTGTGCATGCCAGTTTATCACAACAATCATGGCAGACAGCAGACACAAGGGCCAGATTCTGAAACTAGCTGCCCAGACACAATCTCAGATGATTCCACCAAAGACATCAACAAGAGAGGCATCATTAAGGAACATTAATTGCAGAGTCTGGCTCCTGATCGTGTGAGTTGTCTGCAAGCTACCTTGTGGTCCGGCAAAAAAGTTCCAGCCATATGCAAGCCTTAGATCCAACATGTCACCTAAGGAAGCTTAACATTAACGTCATCGGGTGGGGCAGGGTCAAGCCAAGAGTGACCTTGACCTGACAATGACCTCAGTTGACATTCATGATAGCGCTGGTGCACATAACCCAAATATTGGAGCCAATCACCAACAAGATATCATGCCTACAACTCAGAGCTTGAAATCTGCAGTGACCTTGAGGTGTAAAATACCTGGCAAAACCACCAGTTTAAGTACGAGTGTTCGTGCTCGCCAAGGTCACCGCTTACCTGATCTACGTGGACTAGTGCTAGGAAGGAAGATACAAAAGAATGCCTTCTCCCAAAGTAGCACTTTGATTGATTGAAGTAAGTAGTACTAAAGTGACTCCCTCATAACACGAGGGAGTATGCAGCCATGGTGGTACCTTGAACTCATCAAGACGAAATAGTCACTCATCTCTTGCACACGTCTTTCACTCTTCTTCAACTCACAACAACACAAAAATAGAACATATGCTGCTTATAAAATCTTAATCTCATTTTGAGATCCGTGTGATCACAAAATATACTTTGTATAAGGGGTTTTGATATAATAAATAATTTCCATATGAAAATGTACAACATTATTTACAAATGCATGAATATATACAGATCGGTAAAAAAAATGTTCAGGAATACAAAATATGAAGTATAAACAATGCTTAAATGACTTAAATAGAACTTAATCTCAAAAGGTGCAAACATTACATGCTATTTGGCGCTTGCTCTATTTTTAATTAAGTCGGATGGCCATGTATGAGGCAAGCTAGCAGTTGTTAACTAGTCTGATTCATCATGAACTTGGCACAAGTGGGACCCTATGATGGGTTAGGGTCAGCAGTTTTGACAAGATTACATGTACTCCCAGAGGTTGACAGCGAGATCGCTTCCGATTGGTCAATGGCCAGTGACCATGTGACTAGTTGATTATGCTCTCTGTGTTGGTTGGCCAGATCGTTTGGAGGCTGAGTTTAGCATCTGTCAGTCACAGCACCAAGAGAGATGTCTGTCTACATATCACATTGCACATTAGGGAACGAAATGCAACACGGCGATAAACGCAACGTTCCAACTATGTTCTACCACTCACTGAATGACTAGCACTTTTAATGACACCCAATCCAGGCACTATTCACGTATTCTTTCATCCCCAGCTTCCAGCAGAAACATTTCCCACATCCTAATACTGCCACTGGCAAACGAGGAACAGCTAGATAAAATGTACAAGCAAATAAATTTCAAACATTCTAACTGTACATGTAACACGTGATTGCAAAACTCGCAGAGTTTCATAAACACTATGAAAAACTAATTCACACAACATTTGTTGAAATTATCACACTTTGCTTACAGGGTGGTCAGTGTTGCTATGAAGACTTGCATATGATAGTTTTAGCACCATGTTCACAGTACTGTGTGGCTAGGGGTTCACTTACTGCACCAGAATGGTCATGTGTCTTGCACCAGGTAATTTCTGCGGGGAGGGGCGTCGGAGGACGTCGCAGCAAGTGACAAAACTTTCTCAGGTAAGCAACGAAAGCATAACCAGTAGTTAATACCAAGCTACTCTACATTATCATAGGAGCGCAGGGCTCTGCACTATACATGTATTTATAATCGGTTCAACAAACAACCATGCCATGCAAATGTTTTGTCCCCGAGAGTCGCTTAGGTCTCCCGTTCGGAGATGCTCGTGAAGCTGGAGTAGGACTTCAACCATGACATTCACAGCTTGGAGAGATCAGACTTGCCTCTCAACCATGTGCCTTCGAAAGTTACCTCCCCTTCCACAAATCTGACACACGTCAGTTTGATAGCTCTTGCAAAACTGAATTCCTTTCCTTGACAAAGTGGAACTTAACAGGGACAAAATGAGAAACAACCCGACAAGAAAAGAAAAGATTAGCACATCCTTAAATGACAGCAGCACGTACTGTACACTCCACCTAGTTCAATAGTTCACAATACCATTCCAATATGCAGACATTCTATTCATACAACACAAAATACACATCTCCAGACTATGAGAGTCTCGCCTCCTGGCAGAGGCTTAACAAGCTTTGAATATTTTTTTTGTATTTTTTTTGGCAACCATACAATGGAAAGAGAGAGGAAATAAAAGGAGGAAACAAAAGGAGGTATGTTAGAGGTGTAAGCAGGTTGATAAATGTACACCCAGTGCCTGCTCAGTGATAACAGAGGCTAGAGATCGCGTATGTTCAGATCAAATTCACAATAAAAAAAACCAATCAGATCTTGCCTGCCTCTGACAAGTAGTCTCAATCAAAATGGTGGACACCAAAACATAGTTAGTATAATGCTAAGATTTTGAATCGTCATATCCACTAATTTCAGATGTACATTCATCCACGGAGCAACTGTCTTTAGATTGTAGAATATTATATGTAGCTTTCCTAATTGGACCAAGACATAATTCAGCTCAACTGCTACAGAAGGAAAATGGATAGACTAAGGAAAAAAGAGTAAGGAATCAAGTTGCAGACAGTAAGGGTTCTATATTAAGGTTGGTAGGGAGTCAGTAAAATGGTATGGTAAACAAGGAATCAGTATTCAAGACAGTAAGGATTCAGTATTAAGCTTGGTAAGGAGTCAATATTAAAGTTGTTAGGATAAGGATTCAATATTACAGAGACCAGGAAGTGGGAAGGTTCACATCAAAGGATAAAATATAGACACATAGCTGACGACCCTTTTGCCCTAGGGGCACAGGGCAGTCTTTCGAGAGGTGAAGGTCTCGAGTTGAGAGGTCAAGGTGATCTCGTGGGCTGCTGGTATAATACTACGGCCTGGCTGGACATCGAGTGAGAGGTTGGACAGGCAGGCAGGCAGGCAGGCAGGTATAAAACAGGAGCAATGGAAGACATTCATAAAGTGTCTTTAAAATCCCCAATTGCACCTTTGTAATGACTGTCCTTGGACCTCTTTCCATGATGAGAACATTATGAGTAGGAGAAGAAAACAGCACTATTTTGATAGTTTGCTTATGACACGGATTAAGGCTCCGTTTTCCTCTCGGAGGCGAAGGTTATCGTTCTTAAGGCTGTCCATTTTCTGAAACAAGGAAACAAACAGGGTATTGGATCTGTCAACTTTATGATTTATACAATGCTCCTGGTTTTGTTCAGGCTCTCGTAATGAAATCTTGTTGAAATTAGTACTGATTAGATGAAAAAAATACTCAGAGATAAAAGAAGAAGCTAATGATTCATCACTTGAAACAAAGAAACAGGAAAAGAAACGATACAAAATAACATAAAGAAATTTAACCTTTAACTATTGCAGAAGATTTTGTTAATTAATACAGAATAGATAATGCATGAATTGTACATTTCTTTTCATATTATTTACCTCAAACCAAAAACTAGGACAACTAGTTGAACGTTAGTTATTACAAACCTCCAAACAGCAGAAAACATTTGTGACATGTCACCACAGTTAATGACAAGAAGGGTCGAAGACTTAACAATAAGCAACATGGAGTCAACACGTCTACTCGTCACTGAATGAACATCATCGTCAGCACTGGACAGCATGGAGTGTGGGGCTTGGGAGTGCCATTTGTTGGAGTGAGTGAGTGTGGTCTGGTGCCACGCTTGGCAATATTCCAGCCATGTCAAGGCAGGCAGGCAGCACCAAGACTTGGCTTGTATCATTGTGTGAATTTAGCCTGTGTTTTCAGTGCGATGGGTGAACACTTATCTCCAGTGTACTGGACACCCCTGCTTTTGGTTTGTAATGTAGATGTTAACCAATGCCTGTGGGCAAACTAAATTAGCCTGGTCACAGCTAGGAGTGAATGTTGGGAACGCCAGTCAGTACTATTCTAGCTGTCTCATTGTGGCCTGTAAATAACTGACACTGGACCAGACAAGCAGCTGTTGAGATTAGGATCAATGTCCCATGCTGTTTGGGTTCATTGACAGCTGATCAACCAAGTCACTGAGTATGACCATTAGATCCATTTTCGTCACCTCGTCACCTCTGAAGACAAGCAATGGTGTACTGGGCATCAAACCTTATACGGGTTCCCGCTGGGGTCAGAGCTAAGAGTCAACCATCTCAGGTGATCTCGATCCAAACACGATACACACTCCACACATAACAGTACGGAATATGACAACACACAAAATCAGTATTGCGACAACCTGATTATGATCCTCGTAAACTCTAGTATTGTCTTAGAGAAGGATTCAGTCCCCAATCCCCAGCTAACGAAATCCCTGGTGGTCGTCACCAAGACTAGTTTAGTAATTTACGGTTTATGTACCAGTACATGCATCTCTCCATTCTGGTTGGACGCTGTCCAAATACATAGTATTCATCATGCTAGACTCAGGATTAGTATTCGGGTTAAAACTCTTACAGATTCAACAAACCATGTCTCTGCCTACAGAACAAATTAGAACAAGTTTAAATGCATCATATGCACTCTACGAATAACCAAAACCTGAATGGCAAATGAAGAATGAAATGTTTAAAAATGGAAACATAATTTAGTATTGGATGACATTTATCAATGTTCACACACAATGATTTTTGCAGTTTCATCACGCTGCTTGTGACTAAGGTATGCGAGATAATGAATGATACAGGAATAGGACTCAGTGATATGAAGAGTTAGTTGTTTGTAACACCTGCCCAAATGACAACATGCCTGCCTAGTGTGTATGATCATCTCTAGGAGAAACTTGCATCCTTATCTGCAGTGCCTTCCATGACAGGGTCATTAACACAACATCATCGACGTTGACATGCTGTGTTACCTTGGAACAAATACTTTTACTTCACCTAATCAGTTGGGTCTAATTCGGCTTTGAACAGTACTTCAGTTATTTCGCTGCATGTCAGTTATGTCTGGGAAGAAAGTGATGCATGTCATAGACATGTCACATTGCTGTAACCCATAAACAATGGTATGCTGTTCACAAACCAAGGGTCGTAACAGAAGGCGATCCTTACACTACAAAGGGACTAAACCCTGCAGAGCATGCTGCACCAGGTCACCGGTTCCCCTTCAACTTCCTACAGTATCAATGATGTATCTACACCTTGCATTATCAGCCTGTATGTATGGGGGATGTGGGGTGGGTGTGGGGAGAGTTTCAATAATTTCAGCAAACTAAGCATTATCACAGCAGGTAATACTAACAGTTTCCAAAATATCACAATGTGGAAAATTGAACATAAGGTGCAGCAAGTATAAATAAAATATAATAATTAAGGTTTCAGAATTTTTAGTCTTCTGCTTCTCTATTTTAAAACAACTAATTGTACTTTGGGAGTAGAGACAGAGAGTCTACCAGATATATCATTTTGTCGATTCCCAAGTTTTCTAACATTTCACTTGAAATCTATGCTCCAATATATTTTGGATATTACAACATTGACAAATAGTCAATATCAGCTAAACAACTTACCAGGATATACCGGTACACTGTATGTGAGTTTTTAGACAATACAGAACTTCTACACAGAAACTGATCACTGTACATATACAAAATTATGTGCTGATACAATGTGATGAATAAAAAAGTAGATTTACATAGACGTGCATAACATGTAAGCAGAGAAGCTGATGACGTATAATAATGATGGGGCTAAACACGATTAGTTGTCAGGAGGGTAGTATATTAGGCAAAGGCTTGGAAACAGTTTCCCGTGTTTTTCATTGCATTTCTGAGGATCTGAATCTGATATGTTTAAAAATATCACTGACAACATGTCATTCTTTGACTATAAGTAGATTTCTTGGGTTTCATTTGTGAAAACAGGAAAAACTTTGCCTTCTTGATTGGATCCGAAAAATCTTTTTTCTTCTGTATACATGATGCATTCAGCTGAGAAAATACAGTGCAGCCAACTAAAAGTTTGTTACCGGTAAATTGGATAAAAAAAAAATTATGTTTAGGATGATTAGAGAAAAAAAAAGCTTCAGATTTGTAGCTCACCTGTCAAATATTTGTAGTAATGATAAACTTCATAAATAAATTTACCCCAAGCAACAATAATGAAATTTTTTTTTTTCTTAAATTTGGGGTTAATGTAACTTTTGATTATTGATATAAACATTTTAAAGACTTTCAGTGAGTTTTGATGGCAAGTTTCAATCATCAGTTGATGAATGACATTTGGATGACATGATAAATGAACAGCAACACTGTGACGAATAGCCTGACCCAGGTGAGCTGTCAGCGAGTATATAGGTTTGTGGCAGGCTATGCGATGGGTAAACAGCTGGATGGACAGACGAATACACGAACGGACGGACGGACGGACAGATGAGCATGGAAGGCACTGCGTGAGGGTTAGTCCCACCTAGCCGTGTCAGTAGCAAGGCACCAGTCTTCGTGATTTCATACACTTTCATATACTTTCACATCTTAACAGCTATACCACATCAACTTTTGAAGTATCCATCTTTGCTTGAACATTCTTTACTTCTTCACTTTCATCCTTAATTAACAAACACTTCCACTACCAGCTGTCTACCACAAAATATTAAAGACAATATACTCTAGGTAATATTGGTGCTTATATCATATTTAAGGAAACATGTGAGACCTGTTTTTGATGTTCGGTACATAAAAATAGCAATGAACAAATATTTCTCAAACCTTAACACCCTCTGTCAAAAGTACCTGTCAGCTTTAATGATTGTTAGGCAAAAATTAATTTGATCAAATATACCAAATATGAAAATTAATAGCAAAAGAAATTTTACAACTTCACATATTCACGTGTTAATGTATTAAATAGAGAGAACGAATATTAACTAACAACAAGGAATACAGGTAGTACATAATATAGAGAACTTTCTGATTTAGTAATGTTAATATGTACTGCATATTCATGAAGAAGACATGTATATTGATGCTCTCTCTCAAACTACCCCTCATCAATAATCAATAACCCACTACCACGAATCACCAAATCATACAACTAGTCTAAGATTTGTACAAAACTTGAATTCTGGGTTACAAAAAATAGAAACAAAAATACATCTGACCCAAAATCTCCCCCTGCAAAATATGACAGACTGGTTGAAAGACCATGCTTAGTAGAAAATAAAAGAAAAAACTTCAATCATGCTTCAAATAAAACCGCCTGTCGAAATATACGCTGACTGGGTGCATAGCTCCACAGTATTTTACCTATTTGGACAGTTTGGAAACGACTCGCGTCAAGGCCCTATTTTCATCCTTAAGTTTTGCATTATCAGCTTTTAGTTTGTCCATAAGCTGGAAAGGTAGAGAAGGAGTTATGTAACATACAATCTGACTGGATGATGCTTGGTGATCATCTCATCTTGTTACATACAATCTGACTGGATGATGCTTGCTGGTTCGTTCATTCTGTTGACTAGTGAGCGCATTAAATAAGAAGGGATCGACGAGAGAAAGATGAGCAAGTTTTATCTAATAGTAGTAAGGCCAGGTTAAAGGTGGCGAGTGTTGGCAGTTTAGCTGAAATATCCCCATTGAGGACTGAACTGTGTACATCATGGGATGCAGACAGCATCTTTCACACAGTGGCAACTGGGTGCTCAGGCACAGGACTGATCACATGGACAAATAGGTTATAAATGATTTCTTTTTCTTCAGGAATACATGTTTTGTATCTTCACTGATCTTATAATTCAGGCTGCAATATTGGATCATCAGGTTCCCTACTTTGCCACTTTTGCATGGAGTAAACAGCTTCTATGAAGTCTTTAGCAATATCATGCTCCATTGTGCCCAGCTGATCCCCATCATGGTTAAACCTACCTGGGGCATGGTGTACAGGTAAATCAAGCAACCGATCTTACATTCAGACACTAACATAACGTTATCAGCCTTGGCTAAAGTTCCAAACATTTGGTTTGATGTTTTGGAAAATGTTCACAATAAGCCAAGGTTTCAAATCGCTAGATTTCTGCTATCCAAATTGTCCAGAGTTTCTTTACAAAATTTGTAATATAAAAGACTGTCCTATCAAATATTGACAAATTCTGAAAATTAGCTGATATTATTTGTCTGAAACAAGCGGCTAGCGCTTGAGTTCCTGACTGTCCCAGTTTGTCGTGTATCGAGCTCGGAGTGCCACCCTGAATGCATCCCTCCAGTAGGAGATACCTAGCAAGATGTACAGATCAGGGAGAACAGTGGCAGCTTCACTTGCCCCAAACTGCAAACACCCCTCACCTTTAAGCCAGACTAGAAGCTTGAGAGATATTTTCAGAATGTTTATATATTTTAGAAGTATGATATAGAGCTAAAAGCTAGCTACACATGATCCTACACAAGTCAGGCCAGACAACACTCACTTTGAGTTCTTCTTCCAACTCAGACACTTTTCTCTCCAATGCTCTCTTTTCCTGAAAGGCAATCCAAAAATGACTTGAGTTGTAACAATAGACACATATTTCAATATCATGCTATTTGTTATTGGCTTCTAATACAGGCTCACAAGCACACAAGTCAGTATTAATGACACAATTCCAATGGGAGCTGGTAGTGGCAGATGCGATTAGATTAATAAACCAGTGAGTGAATGTTGTTTTACACCACAATCAGCAATACTGCAGCCACATATCAGCTCCCTGTAAATAATGGACAATCACATCAGTGCTTGATACTATGACAGGGAGTCATGCCATAGGGCTACAATGACACGTTGTCGGCCAAGGCATTAATAACCACCAAGCCCTTATTCAAGTCTGCATGAAGACCTGCTCTACTCTTGGTCCCCACAGGGTGATTGACAAATCCCATGAACATGGTTGACTTGTATACAGCACAGGAGTCAGGGAAACTGCACACTTTTACACAGAGGGGTTGACTTCCACACTACATGCAGATCTTTTATCCTATTGTATCAAATGTTAGAATGTTGACATGAAAACTGTTTGGTCATCCCATGCTAAATGTCTACATTATTCTGACCATATCAAACTAGTAATGAGATAAACTATAAGATTCTAAGAAATGTTAACACTTCATTTTATAGATCTTGCAGTCCTCTTTCCTCGTCCTGATAGAGAAATAAAGATGAGAACATGTCATGGTACTTAAACATAATTTGCTCTAAGATTGCTGTTGCAGCCTATAGATAATAAGAAATCAACTCAGAGCCATTAATTGCATAATTAAGCTAATGTATGTGTGAGATGGATGGGAAATCCAGAAATTCCCACTATTTCTGTATTTCACAGGGTACAAAGGTGTGAACGGGTTAGTCAGGGAAGGAACACAACCAAACTGTGTGCTGGGGATTCCATATGGTTTGCTTATAACCAACATCTAGCAAGCATATCCCTTTAATGCAATTATACAAATTTCCAATTTGGTAACACCTGTTCACGATACCATCTAAAATGAGCCAAAAATGTTTTCCAGAGTCGAATGATTTCCCAATTTACCCAAATAACCTCAAAATGGGTAGAACATGAGGATAAGAGCAATCTCTTTAATTCAACAATTATTTCATTAATTTAGTTTTCCTGCTGATCACTTTTGTTGGTATCTGGCCCTGCTTCAGACCAACTCCAGGATCTGGGCCTGCTTTAGCATACTCTACAGGCTATGTCCAAGCTACTATGCCACCCCTCATGCAAGATTGGTGTTAGTGATATGTTACTTGATCGCAGTCGAGCGTGGACTCGGATAGTGGTGTTACCCTCTTGTCGTTGGTCTCAGCTGTGCGCGCAGCGTCAGTGTGTTTTCTCATCATTTTGTCCAACTCTGTCTTTGCATCCCGAAGCTCTCGCTTCGTCTGTTCCAGCTCTCTCCGTAATCTCTCATTCTCAGACTTTTCATCTTCATATAGCTGAAAATAGAACTGATCATTAGAAAAGGGTTTGAACTTTGAACCACAACAACTATCAGAAAGCCATAAGACTATCAAAATGAAGATTTCAGTATTCCACACATTTCACCTCAATTCAATGGTCAGACAGACATTTAAATTTTCTGCAAGAGCATCTCACTTTGTTTTTCAAGAGATTCTGAAAATGTGAAATGTCATGGACTTGAATTAAATTAAACATATAACTTCCTTGATACTTGAACTATTAACTTTTTTACGGCTTGCTGTTTCTTTGATGTATCTGAGAAAACTAGCATGATGAGCAGGCTGATGCCAAATATGAAGACAATCCACTAAGAAATGATAAAGTTACTGAACCCCAAATCCTTACCCTCACAGCACCGGGGCCAGAGTTTTTCTCCTTTTTTCAGTTATACAGATTTTAATAGTGAAAAATTTGTCAGTAGATAAAAATATTTATTAAAAAATTGTTTTAGTCATTTAAAACTAAGTCTAAGTCTAAAATACAATTGAGCCAGGCAATTGATAAAATCAACTTTTATCTTGACATCTTATTGCTTTAATTTGTTGAATACTAATGATTTGGTTTGTTTTTTGTTTAACACCTCAGCAATAACTCAGCAATAATCCAGCTATATGACGGCGGTCTGTAAATAATCAAGTCTGGGACAGACAATCCTGTTATTGATGTCATGAGCATCGATCCACGCAATTGGGATACGAAGACATGCATCAACTGAGCCTGACAACCCGATCCCGTTAAGTTTCTTCTTTCGACAAACATGTGTTGCTGAAGACCTATTCTAACCCGCATCTTCATGGGTTGATTTGTACATGTGTTTCTAAGCTTGTTAATGTGGCCTTCCAACCAAGATGAACCACTTAACACACGATATTGTAACCAACTGTGATATATACATGTAGTTACATAACAAACAAGAAAGAAGTGAGCAAAGCTCACATACCCCTGTTATCCCCGCTGGTCAACAACAAATAGTAAATAGTTTGTTAATTAATGAAATATACCTGTTGCTTTAAGTCAGAGGAACTGCCCTTTCCTTTGTAACCCCATGAGGATGCATCATGTTTGAAATGAACACATGTTTTTGCAAAAATATTTCAATCTAGTGTGGGATAATCAATGCTTAGCACAACATACATTCTTGATGTTTCTTAATGTGTCCATGGAAACGGCAAAAATTAAAATATTCAGAATCTTCAAACTAGCAAAAGACACAAGTACTCATTGTGGTTGATGGGTGTAGAAAGTTTGATGAAGCTAGGGTGCATAGTTAAAAAGATATAGGCCATACAAAACACCCACCCTAAAAGTTTAAGTTTCTTAATGTTTCCATGGAAACGGCAAAAATTAAAAAGTTCAGAATCTTCAAACTAGCAAAAGGCACAAGTACTTATTGTGGTAAATGTGTGTAGCAAGTTTGGTGAAGCTAGGGTGCATGGTTAAAAAGTTATGGGCCGTACAAAAGCTTGGACGGAAGGAAGGACGGATGGAAGGACGGAACGCTATATACCCCCGATTTACTTCATAAACGGGGGTATAATTATTATAACCCAGTGTGGAAAAACACGACAGGCTATTACAATCCACTGTGCTATTGCAGAACTCATCATGATAACCTGCTATGGAAAATATTATTATAACCCACAGTGACATATAACATGACAGGTTATTATAACCCTATTATATTACGCAACAGGTTATTGTAATACCCTGTGACATAATTAACATGACAGGTTATTTTAGTCTTATTATTAATGTATCTTGTGAAAACACAGTTCAAAGCAGTATGAAACCAACGCCACACAGGCCAATCAACAAAACAAGCACAAACTACTCCTAAACCTGTGAAAGTGTTTGTATTAAAGGGGGACAACTCCTGTGTAAGCAGTAGAACCTAACCCCGAGCTCGACCCAGGCCCTGCTGCATCCAGAACTACCGTATCTGTGTTCATGACCTGCTGTCTGGGTGTAAATGTCATGTCACAATGGGACCAGATACTCCTTCACTATTACACAGAGGTGCCACATCACACTGAAATTCCTTCCTAAGGTCACAGATCAACTTACGACATTAAAACACAGGACATTTTGTGCATCAAATGTGATAACAATGTCTACGTGTTTCAAGGCGGTCTAAAACCAACATATATGCAGTCTATCCATATCTAACTTAGCTTAACTTAGCAACTCAGGTTGCAGTGTGTGTGTTTACAGTGAGCTCTAGTCCTATAGCCAGAACCCATATGTTGATGTCTAAGGTATCCACAGCACAGGTGAGTATAGCTGACGGTCAGGTTCTCTTTACATCTGATCATTAGAAGTAGCATTAAACTGGATAGTTTCTGTAAATAACACTATTTGTTTGTTGATTAACACAACACAGCAATTTTCCAGCTATATGATAGCCGACTAAATCAAGTCTGCATGAGACAAATCAGTGACTGATAGTTTGTGCAGGGTACGATGATACGCAATCAAGCAAACCACTGAGTAAAAAAGTATTCAGAAGCTATGACTGTGAATGTTGAATGCTAGAGATGACAATGCTGAGATAGATCCGAATAAACCGTTCATACATCAGCAATGATCTGTGCTATGAAAGCCATGTTACACAATGTAATATCAGAACCCCACTTGTGTGAATTACACATCATTCAAATCTGTAATACCACCAGTATCATATAATCATAGTGGAACTATTGTAATCATAGCAGGGGTAGCCCAGTGGTTAAAGCCATTGCTCGGCATGCCGAAGACCCAGGTTCAATTCCCATCAAGGGTACAATGTGAAGCCTTTTTCTTGTGATCCTCGCTGTGATATCACTGGAATATTGCTAAAGGCAGTGTAAAACTATACTCACATACTGTTTATTATAGCAGATCTATGCTTATGTCAATTCCGTTCCTTCATGGGAGTGAATTTTAAGCCACTCTTAGCAACACCCCAGCCATATTACTAAGGAGGACAACACAAATGGACTTCAAGCACTGTATCCATATTGGGATATTCTTCAGCATGACAAGCCAACTCTTTAACAACTTGGCTATCCCACCAATCCTTCAAGAATTTAAAATTCTAAATCCTACGCCTCTATGAGCACCATTCCTTCCATATCACAATGGGGGACACCAGAAATATGCTGAAAGTATTGTATCCATGTCGGGAACCGGAACCTTAAATTTTATCAAAGGCATCAACTGCATGGCTACCCACCAGCTGTTTTCTGTGCTTACCTTCTTGTAATCGCTGTCTAGGGATGAAGGCGTTGACCGGGAGTACTCGGAGTAGGAGCTGGGCCTGTCCCTGTACCGATCTGTGGGGGTCATGTCTGTTGAGGAGCTGTAGCGTGATGAACCATAGCGGGACCCTAGCGTCTGCAACACAAACCACAGTCAACATTACACACTAACACCAGACCTTCAATAATGATTCTGATTTTAACAAAACCTTGTGGAACCTTCGGTTTGATTTCCACTTCATTGTAAACTAGCATAAGAAGCAACATAAGTTCTTGGCTGGAAAAAAATCTCATAGTATGAATAGAACTAGTCAAAATTACTTAAATTTAGAAATTATGTTCAACACAGGAACTAGTGATAGTACTGTATTCGACATAATATGCGCCCAGGGCGCTCTCAAAACTAGAAATAGGGGGCATTCATTAGAATATAATTTTGGTGGAAAAAAAAACAGAGTTGAAAGTTCGTAAATTTCTACATTTATGTACCTGAAATAATACAAAAGAAAAGTCTCTGCGTATTTATACATGACAGATATATTTTCCAGAATTTAATTACCCATAATTAAGTGTCCATATAACACACGAGTGCGTATCATACACGAATAAATAAGTCTTTGTGTACATTGATCAATCAGAAGAGGTGCTAATTGGGATTGTTCACTAGCCAATATATTAGCAAATATCACTGTAGGCGCTTATTATGTTGAATACGGTAAATGTATTAAATGTAATTGCATTTTATGAAGGGCAAGAAGTAGCCCTCAAACATGTTGAACAATAACAAATCTGTTATCCATAAAAGAATTGATGTCTTTATATATATAGGTATATATATAAGTTTACATAGCAGAACTTCAAAACAAATCTCAGGAAAATAGCAGACATTCAAAGCAACCAACAGCAGTGTAGATGAAATAACATTATCATTAACTTGTGAAGATAACATGCATTTTTAAGATTATGTGTGACTTGTTTCACTTCATATATATATGACAATTAATATTGTGACAGCTTGGACACTTTGTAACCATGTGAGATTCATAGCTGCAACTACTCAGGGTGAATCAAGAGTGTTCTTGGAGCACTAGAGAAGTGCCATCACTGTGTACATCAGAGCCACGCCTCACCGGCCAGTCCCATTTTAACAAACAAGCAAACCTGGACTTCACTGTAACTAAAGTTGTAAAATATATATCAATTACAAATCCTCATCAAACTGCTTCAAGTGATCTACCAGATGTCTTCACATGTAATGAGTAAATAATCAAGTCTGGACCAGAGAGTCCCGTGACTGACATCATAAGCATCGATCCACGCAATTGGGATCAATGGCATACATCAACCAAGTCAGCGAGCCTGACCACCCAATCCCATTAGTTGCCTCTTACGACAAGCTTAGTCACCTGTAATGGCAAGCATGGGTTGCTGAAGACCTATTCTATCCCAGATCTTCATGGGTTGAGTAAGAATTAGTGAGCCAGTACTTCAGTCAAAATGACCACTTGTCAGCTGCATGTGCTAAGGACGCCAAGGGCAGTCATTGATGCTTGCCACTCTGGTAAAACCAATGAACAAAAATGTGCTGACAAGCAAAGAATCATAATCAAGGTGAATCTGGGTTTCTCACCCATAATCAGCAGATCCTGGCAGAACTAGGGGAAGTAACTCTGCACAAGAAAAGTCACAGAGGTACTCGTCCCCACTTTGCTGATTTCAAGAGAGAGGTATGCCAGCCAAACCCACCAGTTGTAGTTTGATGGGATTGTCAGATCCTGCTGTCTGAGAGGATCATACCAAGTTTAATGTAAACAATCTGGCAGAGCCTGCAATCTGAGCCAGCTCAAGGTGGGCCAATGGCAGCCCTACCTGACTCACATCATCTGTTATTACATCAGAGCATGGGAACCTCTGCCATCATCTATGTGTTGAAGCAGACAGCATGTGTAATGTTTCAAGCTGATTCCATCCCATCTGTAATCAGCTGACATCATTTCCTGCTGAAGGTGGACGGGACAGCCAACCTGCTAAGTTGTACTATTCACATGCTGCTGCCATTGTTCCCACTTAAACCCTATTATATCCTGATCAAAACTCCAAAGGAAGGAAAATTACCATCACCAAGAGAAAATATTGAATCATAAATATAAATATATGTGATCAAAAATGACAAAACATGAAAAGACAAAATTCCAACTTTAGATGGTAATATCACATCCCTCAATTAAACATGGCAGAATACCTAAAAAATCCTTAAACTACTTCATTATAGTAATGACAGAACTCACATACAAATCATATCAGATACTGTTTAACAATATGACCTCCACGGGAATCTCCTCTAGCTCAACCATAACTATGGGATGAATACTGTAATTGCTAGAAACTAGACTGTCAACTTCTTGCACTAAAGTATCATCAGTTCACAACCATCATAAATAAAACTTCATATTCCTCCGACCTTATCCCTGGTACAAAATATGAATATGTATCACTGATCCATGTACCTCATGTGACTTGAATATCCACTGTACATCATACACAATCAATACAGAATTGTATTATCTTGTTTATTGATCAGCAAGTACATGTACAGAGAACATGGAAATAACGAACTACAGGGGACCGAAGCTCAGACAGTTAGGATTAACATAATGCAAGTTTAACAAAGTTGAATCGGCACCAGTGATTGTATTGATTCGCTGCGATTGTGTTGATTCACCACTGATTGCGTACAGCCAATTGTCAGTGACACTTGACACTGAGTGAGATTTCTCAGTTCGCTATACACGTCACTAATTAGTGGTAGATGGGCTTTTCGGTGATCAGATATCAGTTCGCTGTATCCGTTAGTTCGCTGTAGAGAGTTTGTTTTGTACGTAAATTTTATATGATAATATATAGAAGATAAATCATGAATTTTTTAACAGAACCCATATTTAACTTAATCCTTCATCATGCAGCCTTAAAGTAATAATTGGTTTGGTTAAATTGTCTTTTAATAGATAACATAAGCATCCTAAACAATCTCTTCTTTCAGAAACTAAGAACTCTAGACTTGCCAAAGCAATGCAGACTTGCTTGGAATCTTGGATATTTTTGTTTCAGGATCTGTATAGGATATTTAAGCCTCCATAGTGGTATAATGTTGTCAGGCCTAGGATAGATGCCTGCATCCCTACAAATACATAGACTAGTCCTGTAAAACCCTTATCACAGGCCCATGTCATTCCCTGAATAATAAGGTGTCATGGCTTTGCACCAACTAATACTCATATTTTTTACCATGCCTCTGTCTCTGACATATTTCCAGTGACATTGAGCTTGATATAATTGAAAACCCTGACAGCCTTGGTCATTGTTTGTGACACATGCCTGCTGTAATGAGAACGCCATGCCCTGTTGATGTCATGAACCTAGGTGTGATCAGTGTGTTGGGGGTTGGGTCCATGTATAGAAGTGCGGCTATCTCACTAAGTGTTATGTTCTACACGGCAGAGTGGTGGACAATTTAGGAGGGACCTACCATTCAATACAAGAATAGGACATGATCATGGATAATATTACCTCTTCAAAAGCTGGCTAACATTGCGTGACAAGGTTAGGTGTAAGGAAATACATTTACTTATCCTCAACAGACATAAAATTATGTGGGGTTCCAGATCTCAATCAGAGAGGTTGATGGAAAATTCACAGTTTACAAGGGCAATATATTTCTTGAACTTCTAACCTTTATGCTGTGTTTAACGTAAAGATATTTCCTCAATTTTACAACACAAATATGAGAAGTTCCAGATTTCTCTTTGAGCTTCCTTTTCACAAACTGACGTTTGGGCCTGTGTCTTATGACCTGATTGTCCTAAATTTGAGAAATACTTTTAAGTAAAAGCGACAAAACACTTTCTATATATATAAGAAACCTCTGCCAAAAGCAGATTCCATTGTATGATTCCGACTATATCGGGAGCATGTGTTTATGAATCACTATCAAATAGTGATGATACCAGTTGTTCGTGAAAAGGTGAACATATCCTGCCCCACCAATGGCACCATCACAAACACAAGCAAAGGCAAGTCAATTATTCACCTGAAATAACATAGGAACTGAGGGTACAAGTCAAATACGGAATTGCATTGAATATACTTTTGCCAAATTTGGAAATGTCTTAATCAGTGTCCAGGACTGATCAAACCCACACAGACAACACTACCTGACGATACCTACACAGATAATATGTACGGCCAAAACCAATACAGAAAAGATCAAACCAGCCCAGACACGAGTTATTTCTACCTGTACATCTTACAAAGGTTACACAGACATTAAGCTAACAGTTTTCAAAATCAGTGAAATCAAACACGATGGTACTGCCAAGATCCCCTCCAAACATCTCCATTACCAGGCTTCCAAATTCCTCAGTCATGAGTAATGCTACCATAGTATTCACGAGCTGATCCCAAGTTACGAAACTAATACAACCAACTGCAATACACCTACAAGTCTGGCTGAGATCAGTCCACGAGATACCTTGTCACAGGGCCTATCTGTGAACACTGCAGATGGGTGCAACACAAGGAGATAAAACATACACTCTTTCCAAGCTGACAGCTCTGCCATTTTGACTATAAATTCTGGCATTCCACTTGAATAATTTACCAGTCTCACTAGTAGGCCTTACATGGTGCAACACCAGTCATCCCTGTCTCAACATGTGGGCAGCATCTATATCATAGTCAACACATCATTGCCAACAAATCTATGGAAATGCATTGGATAAGCCACAACTTCTGACAAAACACATTCCAGGGGAAAATGTACTGAAAGTTGAAAGAAAAAAATTACAATCTATTTGAGTATTTGCATTCCACTGAATGCCTAGTTCATAGTAAAAAACGATCCATCTTTCCTGCTATCATTTTTTAAACATTAAGACCGAGCATCGGATGAGTAAATGAGTGAGTTAGTTGGGTTTGACCCCGCTTTTAACAGTATTCCAGTTATATCGCGGTGTGTCAGCTTAATGTGGGAGGAAAGCCCGAAGTGATGCAGGTCTCAGACGTTTACCACTTCAGTAAAACCCACGAGCACAGGTATGGTGCTAACAAACCTAGAAACATAATCGGGGCAAACCAGGA